TTGAAAAAAACATGGGGGTGCTTAACTTTTTTCCAGGTGTATATTTGCTGAGATATCGCTCATATACTGAATGAAATGCAATGGCCCCACTCATTTCTTTCCATTTTTGGAAATGGACTCTTGTATATACATAGTTCTATGTATGACAAGTAATAACCAATCAAAAACTCAGAATGTTTCCCTAGTGGCTTTCTCAGCCATTTTGAAGTGTTATGAAATCAACTCCTCCTTTCAATCCAAATTTCAAGCTGGTAAGTTGAGTCTTTAGTCAGCTCGAAATTTCATATTTTTAGACCCAAATTCAGCTTATTTACCAAGTTTGATAAATTATAGTGGAATTCTATGGTATTGATGTAGTAATTTATAAGTTTTGGTTATTTCAAATGAATATATAAAACTTAAAAAAAATTATTTTGTTTCACATCCTCCACGTGTGAAATTTGATAAGGTTTACCAAACTATACCAAGCAGCAAAGGAGTGCAAAGTTCGTAACTAGAAGAGATAATAGTTTACTATACTTCTTTATTTACTGTTCTATGTTTTAAGAAAAAATAACTTTCAGAACTTATTTGTAAATAGTAACAATGTATATACATATATAATGTATTATAAATGAAATGTGACTATATTTTACACTAAAATACAACCAAGACAGGTCACTTTGTAAATGAAAGCATTATATTCTTGGATACAGTAAGATGAGTGCACATGCACCTCGTCATTGCAACTTCTGTAATGTTAGCCAGGCATGACTAGAAGGTCAATATAAGAAACTAATAAATGTATAATGTTATGAGATTTAAGCTATTGAGACTAAACATCTGTATTTTCATATAATAATTTGTAGTCATTCTAGTACAAAAAAAGCATAATTTATATTTATTTTCTAACTTTTTGTGGTGGTTACGAGGCCGGTCAAATTAATAGACCCTGTGTAGTTAGGGTACAGCAAATATAAAGTTTACTGAAAACAAACGTTTGAAAAGGATTTAGTAGGTTTTAGACCAAAAATATTTGACATTTTGGGGAGGAAGAATAGTTTTTAATCATAAGAAGAAAATCACTTCACACTCAGACTAGTAATGAAACAGACTTGCTATTTTCACAAACAAATCTTTAGTAAAATAATTCACTAAAAAATCAGATTTTTTGTGCACAAAATACTTGTAATCTTTACTAAAAGTCTACCAAATTTTGTGAAGGTATACATACTGCATCAAAAGTTATAGTATAAATACCTAACATATGCAGATGTGTATACAAACTCATGTTTTATACCGAGCTCGTTGCAAAAGGATTAACTGCCAAGCTACACACCATGACAAAACAATATCCCCATACAACATATACCTTGACTCGAAACACCCTATACAGGTAAAACAATTTCTGAAAAAGAGTCTAATATTAAATTCTCTCTACAAAAATAATCCTTTCTTGTGTTTTTATAATTTTAGAACTGTGCACAGGACAGGTAGAACATCCAGCACCTGTCTTGTGAAAGTGGATTTTCTCGAGGCACCCCCATTTACCCCCACAACTAATTCTAAGGCATTTGTATTTGGTGATTCCAACTGTAGCATTGAATTTCAGATTCTAGCCACCCTGTGACCCAGATAATGGGAAGTTTGTTAACTCTCTCCCATGGGCTCAGTCAATTTGACTGACCACGTGACCTCTTTGTACTCAATTAAAATCTTTACAGATTTAGTACTTCTAACTTTCAATATAGTGTGTAAATCTTCACAAAATTTAGTAGTCTTTCTGTTCATATTATAAGTCTTTCACATACAAAAAATCATATTTTTCAGTGAAGTATTTTTAATAAAATAAAATAAAGATTTGTCCATTAATATATTGAGTATATGTTTTGAATAGTCAGTGCGAAAAGTAATTTTCATGTTAAAATTAAAAATACTTTTCCTCATCCCAAAAATCTCAAATTTCTTTGTGTAATCCTTAAAACTTCGTAAATACATTTCAAACGTTTTTATTCAGTAAAACTTTAGAGTTTATCTGTTATTTTCTCTACCCTATCTCAAAACAGGATCAGCCAATTAGACAAACTTCGTAACCACCAGAAAAAAATGAAAATAAATCTAAATTACCCCCTTTTGCTTTCTAGAATGACTTCAAATTGTAACACGAAACTAAATTTGTTTATCCTAAGTAGCTCTAAGTTTGTAACAGAATACATCTATTTATAATTAAATTTTATTGTTTTACTGCCCTTTGAATTATGTCTAACTACTGTCCTCACTATTATAAGTTGTAAATCACTTGGGGAACATGCAGCTCACGTTACGCTATCAAATGACATTACCCACAAGCTGCTCACGTGCACACCTCATGAACCAATTTAATTATATTATTATTATTACTTATTTTACCTAATCTAGTCTTAAATAACCTAAAAAAAATCCATATTTTTAGATTTTGGTTACTTTTATAATAAGGTAGGAAGAAAAACAATAAGAAGAGAAGCAAGGAAAGAGACCTAGGAGAAGAAATGCAAAAATGACTGACAGCAGAAAATGAGACCAACAGCAGGAGAAGAGATGGGTACTTACAGAATCTTGAGTGTAAAAGTCACTGATAAGAAAAGTGACAAACAAGTCTGCTGGTAGAGGAAAGACAAGAAAAAGAGGATGGTCTGTAATCCAGAATGAGAAGGTTAGGAGTAGACAAAGGCTAGGAGGAAAGAGTAAGGTCCAAACAGAGAAAAAAACCTGGGAAGATAAGGAGGACAAAAGCTATATAATATCAATCCAGGACATCATGGGAAAAAGACTACCACTGAAGACATCTGGGCAAAAAAAGGAAGCCAGAATAATAAAAAATTCAAAAGAAGGAAAGTGTAGGGTAAAGAGGAACATAACCCATCACAACAAGTCCCAACAGACGGGATACAAAGTATAGAATGATAAAACAGAAGAAGTGGAACAGACCAAACAGAAAAGGAAAGGAACACCTACAGAAGCCAGTTTGAAGCATAAAGTGCCTCAGATAAAAGACGTTAGGAAAGAGAATATAGGAGGGTAGAGAGAAAAATGAGGAACCAGAAAGTGAAACAGAATGTAAGGGGCCTAATCTCCAAGCTGAACAAACTGATAGCAATGACAGGGAATCAAGAAAAGAAAAGGAAGAAAGTCTACAAATCAGGACAAAAGGGCATGAGAAAGGAAACAGTACAAATCCTAATAGTAAGAAAGGAGAAAACATATGGTAAACTCCAAAAATCATGGATCAGAGAGTAGAAAAATGAGAAATAATAAAGAACACAAGCAAAATATAAGGAAAGGAACATACCTGAGAATTAAATCCAGAAAGAGATTGAAATTCAAAGATCATTTCCTAAATGTTAAGGCACTATTCAAAACAAATCAGCTGAAGGTCGTAGTCCAACAGAACAATCTTGACTCGGAAGAAAGAAATTTGGCCGATGGGATGAAAATAGAAGACTCAGTAAGCATGTGGTAACCCACATCATGTAAAACAATGTCTGTAATGACCCTGACAGTTAATGAGCCTCCAAAAGTCTTAGTAGAAATATGGCCTATGTGTGTGTGTACAACTTCACTCACTCAGTACTAAGTATAAATCACCATCATTTGAGAATTCACAAAAATAAAAGCTTTTGAAACAAAAGCCAAAAAACAAAATTCAAAATTTCATTAATCGTGCAATTTCAACAATTTGAACTTGATCAAGAAATTTAAAAACGTCAATTCAATACAATGCCAAGGGAAAAAAATGAAGTTACCATGAAAGCAAGTGCATAAGGGGAGTTGCTGTGCATGGAGGTGTGTCACTCTTCTATCGATGGAGGGATTTTGTTGCATAATGAAGTCATCATGCAGCAGCAAAATTCACATTAAGTCACATGAGATTAAGTGGAAGTTGCTTCAAGGCTAGTGGCACATGTGTGAGGAAAGTAGTTAAACTGTGTGAAAAGGAGAGTTTTCTCAGAAATTCTCTTGAACTAATTGAAATCATCTATACCTGTAATTTATGAGGGGTGCTTGGTTCACTAGGGGTTTCATCTTTCTCATCTGTGATGCTGAATTGATCAGGAATTGGCCTTAAAGGTGTACTGTTGCTTGTTGAATTGGTTAAGCCTTCACCAAAGTTGATTAAATCCTAGAAGAATGAAAAATGTAATATTCTTAAGATCATCTGTCAAAATCTCATTCTCTCAAAAATAATTCAAAACTTTAGACATGAATTACAAAAACAGAATAAACAAGTGATAACATAAACAATAAGTACATTACACCAAAAAAGGAAAGGTTCAAACATTTAATACAATACAGAAAATTACTCTTGAGCACAATTCAAAATCAATATGTTATTAGCTGTATAATTATTTCATGTAGTGTAATCTGCTTTGAAATGCATGGCTGTTTAAGTGAATTTTGCATGTTACTTACCCAACCTGGTTGAATTTATAACTGTCTTCAATAAGAAGGTAGTAAATACACTACCAGACAACTTAGCTATACAATAGAGAAAAACATCACTGAAGGGAAATTATGATACATAATTAATGACATTTGTACAACAGTATCTTTATAAACAGTTATAAACAATTACAAGCAAGAATCTTACATTTAAGCATCCTACCTTCTTATTTGCTAAAATATCAATAAATTTGTCAAGCCCACCAGAGAAGTCCCTTCCCTATCTCTCTGACTTTCAAGATTATTTGCTAATCTACTTTACATGGCTGATAGATATGTTACTTATCAATAGAAAGACCAGCTCTTTATGTATACAAGTCATACAAATTTGCATTCAGTTTCCTGTTGTAAGTCTTTAGTCAAGGAGAATGACTTGGTTTGTGTTAATCAGACTTGATGCTCTGAAGAGTAAGATAATATTTTTTAACCTATTTATAGTTTACTTAGAAAGACAGATAAATTATAGTAGTTTTGGAAAATTCTATTCAAGTGATTGATATATTTTTTGTATTCTAAAATTTATATTTGAAAGCTACATGGAAATTTACGACACCAAGGTTATGGAAGAATGTTCAAAATTTTTACTCAAGTGCAAACAGCTTGAGTATGCAGCAAGTACTACAAATCCTTGTTTTTAAGTATATTTTTATTTGTTATTATACACTTTTCAAAAAACAAATTACTTATTACAAACGTTTTAGTTTAGCCTAACAACACTTCAGCTAAATAAAATGTCTAAAATATTACTAGCTTGTGTTATTTACGTTAGCTCTACAGAAAACAGCAAATGGGCTCTCAATGTGATTTACAAAGTAAACAAGAAAATCATAAAATTAAAGAAAACAAATGTGAAAAAGTTAACAAATTACTTATGGAACTTTCTGACCAATATTGCACTCATTACTTAGGAACAAATTGTATTATTCCTTTTATTTCATATTTTTCAACTTTTCATTTCACTGTACACTGTTGATCTCCATACAGTTAGTATCAGGATAAGAGAAATAAGAAATAAAGTTTTACAGAAACAAAAATACTTTAATATTCAGTTATTGAAATATGAAAACTGTTATGTTTAATGAAATCTACCTGAATTTTGTGAAGATACAAGTAGTAAATTTAGTTATAGTATGTATAGCTCCACTCACAAAAAGGAATCCCACATTGAGCAGGTGGAAGGCAAATATATCAGACCAAATACACCCACAGGTGGTACCAGGAAATACAGGCTGCTTGACATCAAGTGATGGACAAGACCAAAGTTCTATAATCGAACAACCAAGTGAGAAAATCAGTAATACGAGGTATGGCGGGTCAATAATTGAAAAACCCAGGCTCAAAGACCAACAGTGGAAGATGTTCCATTTAGTTTGATAAACTCCTATTGAGGAAGGGCAAATGGAACAACCACCTCCTCACCAAAAACCTGATAAATGCCAGGAGTGAAGGTGGAGGTTAAGAAGGGCAAGATGAAATACCAGTGACCGATGCTGATGTAGAAGGGATTGAGTAAGAGGAAGAGGCAACAGAGGGGCAATACAGAGTTGAAGTAGTCAAGGAAACCAGGGTTGTGCCAGCCAGTAAGAAGTAATTAGAAGAACTTAACCAGGAGTAACATGGAGGATTGAAATCACCTGGAGAAGAAGACAGATGGGAGGATCAACTGAAAGGGATCAGTTGGTCCAATCCTGGCTGAACACACTGACAGCTAGGGCCTGTGGAGACCAAAAAGAGAGGTAACATGGAATTGAGGAAAGTGGCAAATGCATCAAGCTGAGGAGTACCCCACTGTGAATATAGCCATTGAAAACCTGAGGATCAAGGGACCACACTGAGGGAGAAACTTTATCCAGCCTGGAAAGACAATCCCCATGAGGTTGAAAGCACCCAGAACATGACATGCCAAGGGACTTCTCCCAAACGTGTGAGCCCAAAAAAGTTGATCTAAAGTTGGGTGCCACTTGGGTGTTTGATATAAGATACCACTGTAGAATTGTCGGAATGGATCATGACAAGTCAATTCCTGACTATAAGAAGAAAGTGATCCACAGCTCCTCATACCACTAGAAGCTCTATGGTATTGATATGGAAAGATTTCTCAGTCGTAGACCCTTGTCCAGAAGCCTCCTGCTGATCGATTTACACCCTGAATCATGGAGGGAAGTATCGGGGAAGATATATAAATCCGGTCAAGGATGAGGAAGCAGTACACCCAACGATGTGTGGGCCTTGTTCAACCAACAATGCAGATCATCAATGAATGAAGGAGGAATGGTAAGTGGGAGAATCCAAGGGATCCTGAGCAAGATTCTATTGGTCATGCAGAGTCCACTCAACATACTGCATATGTGCCCAACCAAAGTTCCATAATCAAACAACCAAGTGAGAAAATCTGTAATAAGATGTATGGTGGGTCGAGAAGGGGAGCTGCATTCCCAAAAGTGATACAACCTCACGAGCAGTTAGAGAGAACACAGAGGGCATGGAGAATTGATAGCTCCATCGAATGGAGTCAAAGAGGAGAAGGTTGAGTCAGACCAAGAAGGAAGTTGAAAAAAGACCTCCAAGTGGAAAGGATATCTGGTAGGGGACAGGAAAGACTTCTCCAATTTGATAATCCAACCCACTCAAGCAGCTTCAGACAAGAGATGAGTGTGACATGACGACTCCATTTCTGAATGTGCTAACAGAAGCCAGTCGTCCATGTAGTGGTGTGAGAACAACCCCCCAAGCATGTATAAGCTGAGCAAAAGTTTTTCAACCTGACAAAAGACATATGGAGCTGAAGCAAGCCCAAGGGGCATGGTGAAAAACTAGTACATAATCCTGTGATGGACAAACCAAATATAGCATCTGCACCGAAATGAAATAGGAATGTGTAGATAGGCATTTGACACATCTAACTTCGTCATACACAATCCAAGAGAGAAAGCCCACCTTTTGTGAGAAAGGACTCCAATGTAAAATGGGGAAGATCCAGAAATTGATTGAGATGGGACAGATCAATCACAAGATGCCAGTCCCGTGTTTTCTTGGGTACCACAACATCCTGGAGTAAAAGCCTGGGGAAGTATGGCTGACATGCTCGATAGCTCCTTGTGATAGAAGAGTTATCATTGCCTCTGACAAACACTGACTGGTAGGAGGATCCAAGGTAATGGAAAGGATATGGGTACAGGATATAACGGGATGGGGAAAGGAAGTGGATGATAAGTCCCTCAGTCAAGACCTGAAGAACCCAATGATTGGTAGTAAATTTCCATCAAAGGGGAACAAAATTGGTCAAACAAGCCCCCACTGGACCGAAACCCACAGTATATTCACCAGTACTGCTGGCAATGATGAGACCTGCATCGATACACATGACAAACCATGGAACCCCTTGTGAGTGAAACAGTTAAAGGACAGGTGGGTGTCAGACATGGAACAAGAACAGATTGCAAGGGCCTAGGAGGAGATAAACAAGCATCCAAAGATGAAAGGGTCGAATGTTGCCTCACAGATTCCACATGATTTCAAAGTTTCATGAATATTCCCAAAAATGGACAATTGGAGAAAAGAAGCCATCCACAAGTCCCAAAGGTAAGTGGATGGTAAATGAACCTGGGACAATAGAGCATCCCTCCTCAGAAGATCTCAAAAGCAAAGAAACCATGTGTGAAGAGATAGAGCCAAGGAGGACAATTGTGACAACGTAGAAGTGAGGAGAGAGAAGGTATCCCCCAAAATCACTCAGGAGATCAGTCGAGTGCCTCAGAAAGAAGATGCGTGGTGGACAAATACCACAGGTATGTTGTAAGGGTAAGATGAAGAAAGAAAAACTGGACCTGGGATAAACTGGCAGTAGTGATTCTAACTTCTGAGAATCAAGAAAGGGGTAGTCTGCCTGATGGTAAGCCAAAGAAAACTGATCCATGGCCCTTGGAGGGTAAGTCATGCTAGCACCAGCTTGCAACTGAGAAACAAAATGCTCAGCATGAACCCAATATCAGGAGAAGGACGGAAAACAAAATATTGGGAGGAAGGGTGTCATGTAGTAAGAAAGGAAAAGAATAATAAGAAATCAGGAAAATGGATAAAATAGAACAAACCTGAGAAATCACATCTAAAAAGGCTGAATTAGGCCTAGCATATTCTGCAGGAGAAAATGGGAAGGTATGGCATAATTGGGAGGAGGAAAAAGGCTGTCAAAATCCTCGTCATCACAAACAGATTCAGCAGGTTCAGGAGGAAGTCAAGCAGTACTTGAACAATGTTCAATCTCCCAAAGAAATAAGGATGAAAATTCCTCAGTTGAGTTTCCCTGACCCGAAGCCTATGTAGAAGTGAGGAGATAGAAGGTATCCCCCCAAAATCCCTTAGGAGATCAGTGAAGTGCCTCAGAAAGAAGATGTTGGACAAATACCACAGGTAAGCCTATACAGTGTGCGTGCAGAGGTAATGTCCGTATCGGAATACTGATTTGATAGCTGAGTTCATCTTGACATTTTATTTTCTCTCCTGATCCCTAACTTGCCCTAGGCACAGCATCCAGTGATGATCATGAATCCTTATGAATATCTTTTGTGACATACCATATACCACTGTTTGAATTTTTTTTTAAACCACTGACCAGTATAAAATGGCACAAGACTTGTTACAGTTATCAAGGTGCACACACACTTTCTCAAGCATCATTGTATATTGCCATTTTCCCTCAGCTAGGTACCATTCATACAATTTTCTAAAGTTGTTCTTCATTTCCTCTCCTGAATATTTCATGCAAGCAGCTTATGTACAAAACTTATGTTACTTTTTCAGATGGAGATACTTCTTAATTACATGTCTAGGGCATGTGAATGGCATTTGTCACTGACCTTTGTAGTTGTAGATTCTATTCATTATTGACCCCAGTTACAAGACACCACATTTTACTAATCACAACTGGTACACCAAGTAGATCCATATTCTATTGCTTTCCAATGTCATTAAGTACAAGAAATATCCCCACCTTGGAAATTCTAAACCCCCAATCTGAATATGTCTTTATGATTTGAGACTATGAATATTTTATGTCAGAAAAGGCTATTATATAAACTTCCCAAAAGCAACCAATTTTCAGTGGCATCACACTTCCTACGAAATGCCATCTGGAATGAGAATACTTCACATATGTAATTTTGAAATAAAACAAGTCATGCCCAGTGTTCCCTCTAAGCTGAGTGGCTGCACAACAACCAATCAAATAACACACACTTCATATTTCCATCTGCACACATCCTCAGTAATAGTGAAGAATTTCAAAACATTGATGGCCTTCATGACCCTGGCAGTCAATAGGCCTAAAGCCCAAATAATTTACTGGTAGCATTGCAAAGTGGCCTAATGATCCATCAGGGTAGATGATGTAAAAATCCCCCCCCCCCCAAAAAAAAGAAAACTGGTAGCATACTTCCACACATTGCCTTGATACTGGTGCACATGAAAAAATTCATTCTGTACATGGATTGAAAAAATTAGAGGGAACACCGGTCATGCCCATTTTTTGACTTTCCAAAATTCAGACTTATTTTTACTTTCATTGAACGATCTTTGAAATGATGTTTGACACTCACTATTACTTTCAATGCAAAAAAAAAAACAAGCTCATACATTTCCTCTATGTGTAAGTTAATAGTTGCTTTTAATTCAAATGGTAAAGAAAGTTTCACAGATTTAAACTTTTCAAATTTTAAAAATGTTTATAAAGAAAAACTCATATAGGATAAATAACTTTTAAATAAATATTACTATAAAACACATTTAAATTATTTTCTTACATTTCCTTTTGAAGTGTCAACAGCAAGTTTGTTGGTGGGCTCTCCATTACCCTGAAAGTTAACAATCTATTACTACACAGCATAGTACAAATACACATTTGCACAGAATGTGCTATTTGTTTATTTATTACAAATACATATATATATATATTTATAAATATATTACCCTTAGGAAGACCAAGAAAAAATTGTTCACCTCTAAACTGTGTTTACATATACCTCATTCTGATGTGTAATGACTTAAACTAAAACTGGTAAATATTATAGTTCACATATTCATTCTTGTTTAAGTAAATGATGATATAAAATAGTGTCTTGGCCACTACTGTGTCTATCGTATCACAGCTGGCCTGATAAATCCCTGGTACTGGGAGGCGTCAACAGCACTGGATAAAGCAGATATAATATGGTTAACATATTATTACATTCTTCTGTACTTTCACTCACAAGTTCTTATAACTTAGAAACACACACACACTATTGCTCAGTTTCTTATGAACAATGTCAGGGTGATCTTCATTCTCCTTATTGGTATGTAAATACTGTACATGTATATTGGCTAACTGCTTATACATTGATAAGTGTATTCTTTCAACCAAGTTCATAAATTTGTTTCTAATTTCTTACCTTTTAAAAATCCTTAATATGTTTAACACAGTCTTCTAAAAAAATTAGATAGATAACTGTGCTTACTTTCATGAGTAATAACCTTTCTCATTTTAACAAACTCCTGCACATACTAAGTATCATTACAACCATTCTGTGTCAGGTTTTTTATGTTAAAAAAAATGAACATACCCCAGTCTACCACATCAACCACATCTCTTTTATAAACCAATGTTACTGATACATTTACACTGTACATCTAAAAGGATATTTAACAGCCACTGTGCCAGCTAACAGTGCCAGTTACAAATCAGAACAATAATAGTAGAGCCATGGTTAAACATTGTAATGAACATTTTGGAATTACATATATTCCATCTGCAGCAAGTCTATGAAATAACAATTTGAACAACATTTAGTATAATTACTAATATAAAAATACAATGAATAGTGTAAGAAAATAATAAAACATTCCCTTAAAAAAAATGAGAGAGAGCTATTTGAATAAAGCATGGGAGAAATGAGTTTGAATTTCTATTGAGGCTTGGATTTTCATTTATATGTAGACTTTCATTTAACAATAGTTCATGATTATTATTGTCCATTGGTTAAAATAAAAAAGTCTTTGAAGAAAATATGGTGTGATGATGTTTCATTGTCAGAACCAAATGGATGGCGTGGATAGGCAGCAATCATTTTCTGCTTTACCCATGAAAGTCCATGGGTTACTATGGTCTGGAATGGGCATTTTGATGAAGCAAAATACTGTGAGAAAAACTTACTAGCAGTCTTGTAGAACACCCCATCTCAATAGCATGATTTATTGGCCATAAGCATATATATATAAAAACCGGTGGGATCAGTTCCACTCAAAAACAACTTCAGGGCAATGTCCCATACAACCCTTGCTATGCCACCCCGTGCAACATCATCTTCTCAGGCCCAACCCCACCAAGGTGGAGCACCAGAAGTAGCAGGGTGTAATCCATGCAACATCATCCCCCAGAGAGGACCACACAGAAACTGGAGCACATAGATCACCAGCTGATGTCTTGAGCAACCCCAGTATGCAGAAACAAGCTGAGCCGGGACCCCCAGCATAGAGGTAGAGGATCACATATAAAGTGTAATAGACTTGAAATAAGACCCAAAACTTGAGAGCTTTCAAATAGTTGACTATTCTTCTTCAGGAGAACAAAGGGTGTTCCTGAAGAAGAATAGTCAACTCTTCGAAAGTGCTCGAGTTTTGGGTTTTATAATGTCCAGATAGTTATCAAATGTTTCTTAAGAAAAAACTTCATATTTTATCTGTTATTTTCAGTAATTAATCACTGTACAGGTTTGGTAGATTTGACCGATCTTGTAACCATCATAAAAAATTAGGAATAAATATAAATTATGCCTCTTTCATTCTAGAATGACAACACAAAAACATAAATGTTTAGACTAAATAGCTTAAAACTCATAAGATTATACATCTATATATATTTATTATTTTGACCTTTCAGCCATGCCTGGCTAACAAAACAGAAGTTACAATGATGCGGCACATGTGCTCTCATGTT